AGGAGAAAGATAAAGACAGAAAGAAAAATACTTTTCTTCCCTTTTTCCCCTACTGTTTCTGGAGAAAATAAATGCCCTGTGTCAGTAAAGCACACATTTCAGTGGAAGGCTCTTCAGATAAGCGAGTCATTTGCTTGGATATCTGAGTATGCATAACAATATTTTACCAGAAAGTGTTTTTCGTTTTTTGGGTTTTTGTTTTGTTTTGGTTTGGTTTTTTGTTCTTGGTTTTGTTTTGTTTTGTTTTCTTCCTCAGCCTAGTAATACAGTTTGCTTATCTCTTAGCAAAATAGATGGGTTGGTGTGTTGACTTTTTGGATTGTATTTAATTGTGATATGATTCAGCTAAATCTGGCCTGTTTCTCTATGGAAACTTGTACTACGTTTATTGTAAAATGAAACAGAAAATCCCACATAAACCCTGTAAACTCCTTCAGATGTCACTAGAACTGTATGTGGTTGCTCTTCGGTTTGCTTACCCCGCTTTTCATTTCTACAGCAAGGCACTGCTCCTTGCTCCCTAAATGCTGCTAACTGTTGAATACTGGATGCTGTCGAGGTTTTTCCGTCTCGATTTCTGTTTCTTTGATAAAAGTCACAGAGCTTAATTTTTCTCCTTTCATTCACCTCCTCAAGAGACTGGAGATGGAATAAATTGGACTATTTTGTAACTACTTCAGCTATTGCCCTCTTAGCTCTTATTTTTCTCTGCTTGATTTTAAGAGACTTTTAAGTTATCCCTCCATTATTTTCAAAACAAAACACTTTCTTTTGTGTTTTGTTTTCTCAGCTGCGCCAAGGGAGCAAACTGTAGGTCTTGAGGTTCTGACTAGTGACTACATACCTCTGTGAACACCAAGGAATCCTGAAAAACATAGATTCATAGATTCACGGATTTCTAGGTTGGAAAAGACCTCAGAGATCATCGAGTCCAACTGTCCCTAATCCCCATTAAACCATATCCCTAGGTAGATCATCCACCCTATTCTTAAACACATCCAGGGATGGGGACTCAACAACTTCCCTGGGAAGCCTATTCCAGTGGCTGACAACCCTTTCAGAAAAGAAATACTTCCTAACATCCAACCTGAATCTCCCCTGACTAAGCTTGTACCCATTTCCTCTTGTTCTGTCACCAATCACTAATGTAAAGAGCCCTTCCCCCACCTCCCCACCATCCCTTCTCAAGTATTTGTAGGCTGTAATCAGGTCTCCCCTCAGCCTCCTCTTCTCCAGGCTGAACAGCCCCAACTCCCTCAGCCGTTCCTCATAAGTTTTATTTTCCAGCCCCTTGACCAGTTTAGTCGCCCTTCTCTGGACTCGCCTCAGAATTGAGTAAGTTGTCTTTGTTGGCTGCTTTATCCATTCACATATTCTATATGAGTGAAAAGTTAAAGATATTAAACCTACTGAAATTCTAGTAAGGCTTCTGGGAAAGCTGATTCAGGTTCTGTAAGTTGCTCTTCTGGTTTCTCCTCTTCCTTCTTCTCTTCCATGCTTTTTATTGTACTTGTGCTAGAAGATAGATCTAAAGGGAGGAAAAGGCCAGCAGAAAAGAAGGAAAAATAAACAAATAAAAAAAGAGAGAGAAATTAATAATTTACAAAATGTCATGCTGTCACCAGCCTTTGTCACTCGTTACAAGTTCCTAACAGTTCTGAAATAAAGCAAGGGTTTTTTTTAAAAAAAACAATAATCTTGCCCAGGGTGTCACTTAGGCCCATGGTTTTGGGACATCCTAAAATGTTGTCATGAGTAAAGATACATTTGTGAACAGTGGCCTCTCTCACTAGCTACTTATTCCATCCCTTTCTGCTGGCTGTGTTTCACATTCTTGCAAATCAAACAAGCATTTGTTGCTTTTCCAGTCCTTTGTCTCTGTTTCTTTATCAGGCTTCTTTTATCGAGTCCGCTTGTTAATA